TCCTGCACATTTAAAACATCAGCTCCTGGCCGGGCAGTAGCTCACGCCTGTGATCCTAGCACTCTGGGAGGCCAAGGTGGGCAGATCACTCAAGGTCAGGAGTTTGAAACCAGCCTGAGCAAGAGTGAGACTCCCTTCTCTACTAAAAATAGAAAGAAATGAATTGGCCAACTAAAAATATATAGAAAAAATTATCCGGGCACGGTGGCTCATGCCTGTAGTCCCAGCTACTCGGGAGGCTGAGGCAGGAGGATGGCTTGAGCCCAGGAGTTTGAGGTTGCTGTGAGCTAGGCTGATGCCAGAGCACTCTAGCCTGGGCAACAGAGTGAGACTCTGTCTCAAAATAAATAAATAATAAAAATAAAACATCAGCTCCTCAGTTAAAACATCACTCAACCCATTCTCTCCCAGTCCTCATCTATGTCCTCAGCTCTGTGATTTCTCTTGGTTGTGATCAGCTTGTGGGGACAATTCTGGGCTCTGCTTTTCTGCATAACATTATTTTATACACATATTGCAGTAACACCTTTGCCATTTTTAATGGCCATGTCGTGTTCCCTTTTAAGTTTTCAGCTTGTGTTTCTGCCAGTGACTCTAGGGCCTTGGGCAAGCCGCGCTGCCTTCTTTGGGCCTCACCTCCTTTTCTGTAAAACAGGTGATTTGGACTCTGTAAAGTCCCTTCTAAGCCTTAATATTCCAGTGTCTGTGATTTCCTCGCTATGGAATCCTAACTTGTAACCGCAGAGCCACAATCCTAGAAGGGAGAGACCCAACATCTGTGGAGAGCTGACCAGGAGGCAGGAAGGCCCTAAGGGAGGCATGGGTAGAAAAAATGACACCCCCTTTCCAGCAAAACACCACTGTGGGCAGGCTGGGTGATCTAGACCCCTTTGTTCCCGGTCCAGCCTCTGGTGTCTGTGCCACTGGGAAATGAGGGTGGGGGAACTTTCGCTCCTTTCCAAGCCTTCTGACTTTCCCTCCCCTCCATGACAAAGCACTTTTGGAGCCCAAGCCCAACCCCTCCAGAACAGCAGACTGCTGAGTCACGGTGGGACCGCACTTTTCAGGCAACCCCATGGCTGCCCCTTCCTGTTCTGGGTTAAGTGGATCCTCCAGAAACAACCTGTCTGGCTCTTCTCTCGGCCTGAGGTCCCTCCCTCGTCCTTCCTTCTGCTCCTGGCCCTGGGAGGCGGCTGTCCTGGGAGGCCAGCCAAACTCCCTGCCTCCTCCGAGTCACGAGGAGCTGGGCTGGGGGGAGGAAGGGGGAGGGGTAGGTTCCTGGTCAACAAAGGTCCAAAGACCAGGCCACAGCTTCAGAAGAATCTAGAGGCTTAGAAATGGCAGTTCTGACATCCCAGGTTCCCAGAAGGTGGGGAACAGGTCCAAGCAACATGCAAACACACACACACACACACACACACACACACACACACACACATACACACCAACAGAAGATTTCCCTTCTGTTCTTCCCAGCTGGCCTCCCCCAGTGAGCTACAGCACAAGATGTCCCTCAGTTTTGCTGTGATGTTCACTGTAGCTACATAGGTGTTTAACCAAGCATGTAGCCAATACTGACTCATGAAACCTACATTCCACAGCAGACTGACTTCCTCCTGGTGGGTCCAATTATATGCTAGCTCTGTCCACCTGGATGTCCTAGAGGCCTTGAAACTCAGCACATCCAGTCTAAAACCAAGCTGGCCTTCTCCAAGGGCCTTCCCCCAAACCTGTGCTCTCTGGCTCAGTGAATGGCAGCAGCAGCTGCTGCCCAGGCCAGAAAGCTGGGGTGCTGTCTTACCCACTATTCACCTCCCAAACCCCATGTCAGCCAATCAACCACCTCATCCCATCCCATCTTCTCCACATCTCTCAAACCTGCTTTCTGTCTCCTCTGCTTACTGAGAACTAACGCCATTGTCTCCCAACTGGTACCCAGCCCTCCTGCCTCACTTTAATCCATCCTCCAGATTCAATCAGGCATCCATCTGTTTATGCAACAAATACTGAGTTCCAAGAAACAAACACCTTGCAAAATGCTGGGAGTGCAGGGATGAAGAACAGAAACAATTCCTGCCTTCCAGGACCTCACCACCTACAGCATCCGGGAAGGCAATCAAAAAGGTCTCATAAAAAGGTGTGACTTAAATATATATAATAATTAATTAGACATATAAAATACATATTATATATTATGGTTATTAACCTTCATCACTTAAATGAGCTGCAAATATCAACCCAATTTGTCATTTCTATTTTCACTTTATGACATCTTTTGTCTTATAGCTTTTCATTTTTAAGTAGTCAAATCTGCCAACTGTCCTTTTACAGTTTCTGACAGTCTCAGAACACTCCTTCCCCCCAAATTATACATAATAATCTATATATCCTTCTTAAAACTTTATAGGGTTTGTTTTTTAAGGCTTGGAATTTTTAACCGTTTAAATACTGAGTCATTTTTTTCATGACTATCGATTGTTTCGACATCATTTGTTGAACCCATTCTTTCACTCCCAATTTGAATGCTACTTTAGCACATCCCAAGTTCCCATACATATGTGGGTAGGGTTATTCTGTTGCATTGATCTGGTCATCTCTTCCTGTGGCAGTACCACACTGCTTATAGTACTTTATTGTACTTTTTTATTGCAGGGAATGCAAATCTTCCCTCATAATCTTTTTTTCTCCAAGTGTTTATCAGCTATTCAAAGACTGACTCTTCCAAATGAACTTTAGAAGCATTTTGTGAAGTTAAAAAAAAAAGACTGCATTTTATGGAAATTGCATTGAATTTGTAGGTTTATTTGGGGAGAATTGACATCTTTAAAAAATAGAGGCTGGAAATTTAGAAACATGTTCCTCTTCATTTATGCAAGTTTTGCCTTTGTTTTTATTTTGGTCCAGCAGTATGCAGTTATAATTTTTTGTCACCATACCTTTTTTTTTTTTAGACAGAGTCTCACTCTCTTGCCTGGGCTAGAATGCCATGGTGTCAGCCTGGCTTACAGCAACCTCAAACTCCTGGGCTCAAGCGATTCTCCTACCTTAGCCTCCACGGTAGCTGGGACTACAGGCATGTGCCACCGTGCCCAGCTAATTTTTTTTATTTTTAAGTTGTTTGGCTAATTTCTTTCTATTTATAGTAGACAGAGTATCGTTCTTGCTCAGGGTGGTCTTGAGCTCCTGAGCTCAAGCAATCCTCCTGCCTCGGCCTCCCAGAGTGCTAGGATTACAGGCATGAGCCATGGTGCCCGGCCACGATATGTTTCTTGTTAACTTTATTCCTAGGTATTTTTAAGCTTTTGTTGCCAATGTAAGGTGAAGACAATTTTTTCTTTCATTCATTTTTTAAATATATTTTCTAATTGGTGGTTACTATTATAGAAAAAAGCTTTGCATTCTATGTATGGTGATTTTGCTAGACTCTTAGTCTAATAGGTTTTCAGTTGATTCAGTGTGAGCTCCCTAAAAACAAATCTAGTGCAGTGTTTCCATGTTGTCTTCAGGATAAAGTTTAACCCCTTTTTATGGCACATACCTTATCTGACCTTGCCCCTAGACTCCACCCTTTCCAGCATTCCCCCACTTGCACTCTACTTTCCAGGCCAACATACTTTCATTAAGGTACCTTGAACAGGTCGTGCACGTTCACACCTACCTTTACACCTTTGCATATGCTGTTCCCTCTGCTTGGAATTCCCTTCCCTATCTCCCTCCTTTTAACTTTTTCTTTAAATTTATCTCAAATGTCACTTTCTTAGAAAGCCTTCCTTGACCTCCCCTCACAGATTGGGTAAGGCACCCCTTGTTCAGCAGCATCATTATCCTTACTGTATTGTATGTAGCCCCAGCATTACTAAAATGTTTTTCCTGCAAGTAGTATAGGTTCATTTTGAAATAAATAAAGACTCAAGAAAGAAAAATCATCCTAATTCCCTCAGCAATTTAATATTTCATTAGAGTTGCTTTCTTAAAAAAAGGTTTGGAAATCCAAATTCCAGTTGTAGGGCTGTTAAGTATCCTGAAAATGGTTTTGATAGGTTCCTCAGCTATGTGTCAAAAGACTGGACAGAATAGTGGACCTGGAAGGCAGCTTCAGTTCTGCTACCAGTGAATTCACACCCACTCTGTGCCTGCGACCCAGCCACAAGTCATATACACTGGCCCTGCCCCTCCAGGGTTCCTTGCACTTGTCACCTGCCATCGGCCCCATCAGCTTCTCTCCAACAACAAGCCCAGGGGGTGGCTCCCTCTAGGGCCACCTAAGCCTGAGGCTCCTGTGACTGGGCCCCATAGAGAGGCCATTTCCAAATGGCCTCAGCATGGGCTTCATTTCTAGATCCAAGTCGCTTCTCCTTTCTTTCCAACAACGAGGTCTTTGAGTTTTAAGCGACACCAGCGATTTTCTCAAAGCCCAGGTGGCTCACCCCCCCAACGACTAACTGGGAAACAAGGCCCGCCCAGCCTTTGTTGTCTAAACTGCACAAGGAGCCATATTTGCTTTCAGCAAAAGGCAGGCATGGTCGCCCAGTCAGAAGGGCCGAGCAAACCAGACACCAGCCACGCGTCCCCACTTCTCCATTGTGCTCCATCCTAGACTTTCAGAAAGTGCACTCTTTCCCAGCGCAACTTCTGACTCACTCTGCCCCCAAGGCCCACGTTTCCACCTTCCCAATTTCCAGTAGGGTGTGGTAGCTGCTTCCATACTGCCTTCATTTTTTAATAACATGCCCTGGGCCAAGAGCCTCAGGGTGCCTATTTGGGACCTGAGAATCACCCCCGCCCCGTCGGTTCCAAGGCCCAGGACGCCGCTGGAGTCGGGGCTCCGAGGTGGGCTTCCTCCGCCTCCTCACATCTTCCCTCCAAGCCCACTAAGTGGGCCCTAGTAGCACAGAGACGCCCACTCCCAATCGCTGGGCCGCCCTTGTCCCGGGGGTGCTCAGGGCTCCTCCAAATACTCTCAGCGGCCTCAGGTCCCCGCCGCGCCGTCCCAGGGGGCGGGGCCCGCGCGCCCACCGGAAGGAGCGGGCGCGGCGGCGGGCGGGCGGCGCTGATTGGCCGGGGGGTCCTGACGCCACCGCCGCTATAAGAGGCGAGCGCGCAACCAGCTGCGCCAGACGTTCTTCGCCGAGAGTCGCCGCGGTTTCCTGCTTCAACAGTGCTTGGACGGAACCCGGCGCTCGACCCCCACCCCGGCCAGCCGCTCAGAGCCAGCCCTCCGCCACCTCCTCACCGCTCTTTCAGACCGCCCCAAGGCCTCCGCCACCGCCTCTCCTCAGCCGCCGCCATGACGACCGCGTCCACCTCGCAGGTGCGCCAGAACTACCACCAGGATTCGGAGGCCGCCATCAACCGCCAGATCAACCTGGAGCTCTACGCCTCCTACGTCTATCTGTCCATGGTGAGCGCGGGCGGGCCCGCGGCGGGGTGGAGGCCGGGCGCGGCCTCCCCCGGCGAGCAGGCGGGGCGGGGGTGTGGCTACCGGCGGGCTCCCCCCTCCCCCTCCCTGCGCTCTTCTGGAAAATGGAGTCTGCTCGAGGTCTCCCAGGACTTCCCTGGCGCAGAAAGTCTGGGCAGTTGGCGCTTTTCAGCTGTCCCCTGGGAAAGCTCTCTCGTAGTCAGGGGCTGCCTCTGCACGCTTCTCTGTATTTAAGGAGATCCCGGAGTTGCCAGGCTTGCAGCCTGTGCAGTCGATCCGTGGTTGGGAAGGTGGATTTTTGCACTCTGGTCCCTCCTGCCTCTGATCATTTGGCCCTGAGGCCCTCCGTTTTTTGAGTATCTACCTCCCTCCATCCTCCGTTTTTTGAGTATCTACCTCCTCCCATCCCCCTGCGTATGGCGGGCTTGCTGGATAATGGTGTCGGATAGCAACCTTGGTTGCTGGTGCATAGTGGCTTATCTCCGTGGGCTGACCCCCCTCCACATCTGGATTCTGCTTATCTGTAAGTTCCACTGGTATTGAAGCATATCTCTAGAAATCTCCCCTGTGCAGTCACAGAAATGTCATCCGACCTTGTGCCTCAGAACTTCTTTATCCTTTTTTTCCTAACTCTTTGGGAGTTGTGGCCCACTAATCCAACTCTTAGTCTGGACAAGTTACTGGACAAGGAATTTTTCCATGCAGTAATCTGTGGAATCAGTTTTCCAAAATTCTGGTCTTTCGAGGTATGGGGGGAGTCTTCCTTAGAATTGCTTTTTCGTGGTGCAAATTATCCAAGACAAACATATTCCAAATGAATTTTAAAATAGGCCATGATTTCTATGACTGTCATTGCCTTTCAGGAACACTCAAATACAGTACACAGCCAAAATTGAAAGTCAAATATTCGCTTTCTACCCATAGTGTTGACATCAACATATTGCCCACAATTGTCACTTTGCATGGGGGGTTAATTTTATAAATAAATCCAGCAGTCTGCTGTACAGCTAGCAAGCTCATGAGTGCTTTGTTTTAACCGTGCTTTAACATGGTTAATCCAGGAGAGAGGCAGGAGGGACTCATTGCAGTGTTATACTCCAGTACACTCTCTTCAGATTTGGCACTGGCCATGAGAAATTTCCTCTGTACTAATACAGATCCTGAAGACACTGAATTCCCATGATATTCTAAAGGTTCCTTGAAGTAAACATTCAAGATCAAGTTTCGATTTTCTGTTTCAAAATAGAAACATTACTGTTGGGTTCAATCTGGGAACATACCTCCCCTAGTCTCCTTAGGCACTGACCCCTTCATGCTGGACTCTGAAAAGCAAGGCTAGGCTAGCAGGCCACTTCTACTCCTTGTAGTCTGTTATAGCTACCTTCTTTTGGGAATCCCTAACATAACATGTTTGGGGTTTCACTTTCAGTCTTATTACTTTGACCGCGATGATGTGGCTTTGAAGAATTTTGCCAAATACTTTCTTCACCAATCTCATGAGGAGAGGGAACATGCTGAGAAATTGATGAAGCTGCAGAACCAACGAGGTGGCCGAATCTTCCTTCAGGACATCCAGGTGAATAAAAGATCCTAAGGGTGTCTGTCATACTTTGTTAATCAAGCTGTACTCAGATACCAGAAATCATTTAGAAACTAGAAGTTGCATTTATAAAATGGTGATATACTGGGCTTTTGCCCTTTTTGTGCCTTTTTAGCCCTACCATCTAAACTAAAGTAGGCAAACAGTAATTGGCAAAGATGTTGCATAGGAAGCTGTTGTCAGGAAACTTGGAAGTCCCTTTTGCCAAAGCATGGTGGTTAGATGTTGTATGCTTGTTGACTTGTGGGTTAATTGGTAGAGATGCATTGACCTAACCTCTCATTTAGAAACCAGACCATGATGATTGGGAGAACGGGCTGTATGCAATGGAGTGTGCATTACACTTGGAAAAAAGTGTGAATCAGTCACTACTGGAACTGCACAAACTGGCCACTGACAAAAATGACCCCCATGTGAGTATTGGAAACCCAAGGAATAAATGTAGAGGAAACATTTGCCTTAGTGGTTGGTAAATCTGACCATTAACTTTTGTATCTATTATGTTTTCTAGTTGTGTGACTTCCTTGAGACACATTACCTGAATGAGCAGGTGAAATCCATCAAAGAATTGGGTGACCACGTAACCAACCTGCGCAAGATGGGAGCCCCTGAATCTGGCATGGCAGAGTATCTCTTTGACAAGCACACCCTGGGAGACAGTGATAACAGCTAAGCCTTAGGCTAACTTCCCCATAGCCATGGGGTGACTTCCATGGTCACCCAGGCAGTACATGCATGTCGGGGTTTCCTTTACCTTTTCTGTAAGTTGTACCAAACATCCACTTAAGTTCTTTCATTTGTACCATTCCTTCAAATAAAGAAATTTGGTACCCAGCGGTTGTCTTTGAGATCTTGGGATGGGCCAAAAATCTATCTAAGCCATTTTCTGGATTTCTTAGTGCCACAGTTAGGTTTCAATCGCACTAATCAAAATGAACCACTTAGGAGAATATTTGTATTTATTAAACTCTTCTAGTTTGAAAAAGATAAACAAAGGTGTGGCTGTGTTGAATTCAGACCAGGACTAAGGACTCCTGTAGGACTCCTGATTCTGAATTGCATGTATTCTAGCTTTCACAGTTTTTATGTATAAAAGGCATTTAAAGGCTGAAGTAGTCCTGGACTACTGATTTTTGTTAACCATTTAGCTAACCGTTTAATTCAGGCTGTCGGAGGAACATACTCTTCAGTGTGGACAGCTGTATGGCTGTGACCGGATCAGTGTCCTGTTAGTGTACATGCAGGTGAGGACCAGGCCGGTGAAGTGTCCCCCTTAGGAAGCAGGTTAGGAATGTGCTTCATCCCTATTGAGAATGTGAGAAAGTTCACAGCATGAGTATGAAAGGTACCTTCATTTCAATACTAAATTTATCAGTAAGAGGGCAAAGGTTGACATGGATCTTAAATGACATCCTTTCCTAAAGTCATAGGTGACTTACAAAGTTCCTGTCTAGCTGAAGAAGCAAGACTGAAATTGTTGCTCCTTCAAGTTTTCAATCACGATAGCTGTGTTCTGACCACAAAAGTAACTTCTTGAAAACTAGAAATGGGAAGTTACACTTCCTCCCCACATTATGATTTGAGGTGAGGTAGAGTGTTTCCAGTTGGGTGAAAATGTCCAAGGAATCTGGAATAAAGGGAAACATCTCTTGGTTTTATGGCAGTTTTGGGCTGACCCCAGGGAAGCACAAAATTAAATATTTGCCCCCATCTGCCAGTTCCTGGGGGTGTGGCAGTACTTGAGTACCACCATAGAGTGTTATGGGGAAGTGTTCATTTGTCATTTGCCAGCTGATTCTGGGCTCTGAGTCCTTGGGCTACAGCCTAGAATTCTCAGTTCTGCCCTGTGGTTTTTGTGTCAGCCGCCTCTACTCAAAGTAAGCTGGGCCCAGTGATGATACCTGCTCACCTAAGCTTGGCCTACCTACCCTGGGGCAGCTCTTCCTCCAGCGTCATTGTCAGTGCAACCTCATCCCTTACCTGAGTCCCCAGGAAGTCTTCCTGGTAATGTCATGCTCTTGGGTGAGGTGACCAAAAGTCCCCAACACTTCTAAGGTCCCTACTGAGGTGGCCAGGTATATACCCTGAGCCAGTGCCGGGCATAGGTCCGGCACGCTCTGGCAGTGATGGAACCATAGGACTCTGGAGGAAGGGTAGACTCAGCAAGGGAGGCTGGGCTGGGGAGGGAGGCGAGGGCTCATGCACACAGGGCAGTGCAGTGACCCTGGCCTGGGTGGAGGACAGACCTGTTTTCCAAGGCCCAGTAAGGATCCGCACGATCTTTGAGAATAGTGTGTATGTTGGTTGCTGACTGGTCCAAATGTGGTTCTTTGAGATGTTCAGGGATTTCCGGCATATCTGTCAGGTTAAACTCCACAGTTTTTCTCCTCACACGAGATGCTTCTGGTTGCTCCACCAAGGCCTTATCACCTTCTGAAAGCAATTCAAAACTGTTCTTGTCCCCTGAAGTCTCAAGCTTTAGGCTTTTATCTTTGGTATCTATGCCTGCAACACTGTGAAGCCCTCGGGGTTCTGATTGTTCAGGGGGGAAGACCATGGGTGTGGGGCTGAGGGGCGTCTGGGGGGCACTGTAGTAGCCTGGCCTCTGATACAGTGGAGCGGACTTGAAGGTGTCCACCGCCTTAAGCTTCCAGGCCTTGCTGTCTTCCTGGCCGTTAAGGTTCTGTTTGGCCCCCTTGGGGTTCTTGGGCTGGCCCTCATGGAGAAAGGACTCCTTGGGCCATAGTAGTTTGGTCTTTGAGTTTGTCCTGGGAGGATAGTGGTCATGGGACTGCCGCCCTAGGAAGCGGACTATAATGCCAGCGTGAGCATCGTCCTCGTCCTCCTCCTGATTCGGTTGGAACTCCATATCTTCTTGGGGCAGGCTGGAAAGAAGGGGAGACACAGGGCTGAGTGAGTGGACAAAGGATCAAAGCATGACCATGCTTCTCTCTTACCCTGTCCTCTCCCTCCCAAGGCCAAGGTCACACAGCCTTCCTCACAATACCCCAACTCTCACCTCTCTCCTGATCTTCCCAACTGAGCCCTCAAGGCCCAGCTCACCTCGCTCTGTCTTGTGACTGCATCTTGCCCACAGTCAACATACCCCCTGCCTGGCATTGAAGGGCCTCCTCTTCATCACTCGGTTCTTCCCTTTAAAATACCTCACTTTAGGCAGTCAGAACCAGTGGTCCCCAGGTATGGGTGGTTCAGATCAGGCCTAAGAATGACTGGGCAAGGCCAGGGATTTGTGGTTCTAACAGAGGAGCAACAGCCACAAAAAGAGAAGTTTGGCTTCCTGGCAGCAGGCTTTTGGGAAGCCCAATACCTTTACTCTGCAAGAGAGAACTTACCTGTACCAGAGTATGGCCTGCCCTTGCCCAAGTCTTAATTCTCCCCATGCTCCAAGGCCCAGCCAAGGTGACTTCTGTTATACCCTTTTTCTAGGCATCTAGTACTTTGTACCTTGTACCCAGAGTTTGGGCCTTGGGTTTGAGCTCCCTCACTAAATTGTGCATTCCTTGGAGACAGTCTATGCTTTATTATTCTGTTATCCACTTTCCTCCACTCCGACATTCAGCTGCTGGGGTACAGACCACATAGGGTTCAAAGGCATTCTCCAGAAATGTTTCTGACCTAAGCAAGCCCAGCCCCCAGCCTTCATGTCATATTCCCAACTCTTCACACTAACCCATAGACTCTAGTCCTAATTGCAGTTTATTAGGATATTTGGTTCTTAAAAGAGCAAGGAGAGGCTGGGTGCAGTGGCTCACGCCTGTAATCCTAGCACTCTGGGAGGCCGAGGTGGGCAGATCGCTCGAGGTCAGGAGTTCGAAACCAGCCTGAGCAAGAGTGAGACTCTGTCTCTACTAAAAATAGAAAGAAATGAATGGGCCAACTAAAAATATATAGAAAAATTTAGCCAGGCATGGTGCTGCATTCCTGTAGTCCCGGCTACTCTGGAGGCTGGGGCAGGAGGATCACTTGAGTCCAGGAGTTTGAGGTTGCTGTGAGCTAGACTAATGCCACAGCACTCTAGCCTGAGCAACAGAGTGAGACTGTCTTAAAAAAAAAAAAAAGCAAGGAGAGAACACCACTGGATACTGTGGACAAAACCTTGAGTATGGACCCTGATGTATGCCAAACGCTCTTCAAAGCCCTCTCAACTCTGTCATCCTGGGGAGAGAGGGCCGTCTGGAACAGCCCTCTACACTACATATAGCTCAAGAGGGATGCTGACTGAATCAGGGAAATGGGAGCATGTGGAGGAAGGTCTGGTTGCTGTGGGGAGCCTGAGGCCTTTACTCTGTGGGACAAAGTCTACTCAGGAGGTACCTGTGTTGGCCTGGCCTCCTGCTGGGACACACTTGCTACCCCTCCCCCATCCCAGGGAACCCACTTCCACCTTAGCTTATTAGAAAACACAGTTCTGGCTGCTAATAGCTCTGGATAACAGGAACCAGACCCTAACGTCCCACTGCATCACTGATCACTGGCTGTTCTTTGAGTAAGTCCCTTTTTCTCCCTGGGCCTCAGTTTCTGGACAAGGAAGAACTTAGACTGGAGGAACCCAAGAGCCCTTCCAGCTTGAGCAGCATGGATAAGAGTGCAGAGGTGGGACCAGACATACCTGGCTCAGATGTGCTGTTTGCTAGCTATGTGACCTCAGTAACTAGCACTGTTCTAGTAATGAGTTCTTAGGCAGGCACCTGCACTTGAGGGCTTCCCACCTGGCTCCCTGGCACTGCCCACCTGATGTTGAAGGTGGAGCCCATAAAGGCGGGTCGGCGGAAATGGGCGGAAGCAGCTGTGTAGGGAGGCTGTGGTTCTGGCTCATTCCAATACATGTCCCGCTCTATCCGAGGCAGATCCTGGTGCATCTCATCCACAGCCAACAGGGACACCTGGTCACCAGGGACAGAGGGAGAAGCCAAACAGAAACGTCATCCCAGGCAGGGCCATGAACTTGCCTGATGGGTTGGAGAAGTCACTTCCCTCTCTCTGGACCTCAGTTTCCCTACCTGTGAAATAGACCGATGTCAACCTGCAGTCTCAAAAGTTGAGGTGAGAATCCTGTGAGTGAATGGTTGGCTGCAGGGGGCCGTGGGGTGGAAGGGGATGACAATTGACCGTGAGGCCCCCCTATAGAACTGTGGAGTCCCCTTCCTTGGGGTCCAGTTTGGGGAGGGTCCACAGTGTGGCCTCTCCCACTCTCCCCATACCTGTAAGTTCCTGTCGACAATCCAGTTGGTCTCAAAATCATCATCATCCTCTCCAAAAGGGTTGATGAGCTGCTCTGCCACCTTGAAGATAGGTGAGGCTCTGGAACCCTCAGGTAAAACTCCCTGAGGCCCTGCTTCCCACTCTTACACCTTAGCTCCTACCATCTCTCGCCCCACGATACCCTTCCTGCCTGACCATTGTCTTCAAAGCCACAACCCCTTCCCTTATGGACCCTCAGCCCCTCTGACTCTCCTGAGCTTGTCCCTCTCTGAACACCCACAGCTGTCCCTGAGTGTGTCACTCAGCTGAAGTCATCACCTTCCTCTCACCGCACGTATCTTACCTGGAATTACATTATTTTATTCATTCATTCATGTTTTCAAACATTTATTCATTATAGTCTAATGCGACAGAGATATATACTGAGGCTATGCTGAATTAAAGGGTGGTCCAAGTGGGCAGATTCCTGGATACTAATCTCTGATGTACCCTGGCAAAGCCCCGCAGAGGTGATGAGCTGCCTTAAGGATCCAGGGGACATCTTGCAAGCAATTGGGGCACCTTGGAGAATTTCGAACATAAAAGTGGTGTGATCTGTTTTGATCTGCAGAAACCAAAGACAACTGGGGGGAGGATACAGAGGGAATCACAAGTGCACGTGTGTGTGTGTGTGTGTGTGTGTGTGTGTGTGTGTGTGTCTGTGTGTGTGTGTGATATACATGGACAGGAAGGGGAGAGAGAGAGGCCCACACCACAAATACCAAAAAATAAAGGAAGAAAGAAGGGAGGGAGAAGTAGGTGGGCAAGAGAAAGAAGGAAAGATAAAGAGGTGGAGAGAAAATTGTGTTTTCTATTGTTAGGAGGAGTACTGGCAGAGGTGGGAAGGAATACTTGGATGAGTCACCTGGGGTAGGGATGAGAGACCTCCCTCCCCCATAGGCATCTTGAGTAAGGACAGGTGGTGCCAATCTGCCTTCTAAAGGGCAGGGGTTAGTCAACCTCAGGGCTTTGTTTTACCAAGCAGAGGTGAGAGATGTGGCCTCACCAGCAGAGCCTGCCACTGCCACTCAGATTCCATGAATTCCCCTTGCTCTGGAAACATTTGAAGAACATTCTCTTCAGGAGTCACCAAATGGTTAGACTGACTGAGCTTTCCCTGTCTTTCATGCTGCTGAGTTCTGGGCCTGGGGTGAAGCACTGGAATCAGACACAGGCCTCAAGCAGGCCCCTCCCCTCAGGGTCTCAGTTTCTGCACGTGTAACAACATGGAGAACATGTAGACCAGTGCACTGTGCTTGGGGCCCAACACGCTGCTTTTCATATTTGAGACCCTCCTTTCCTGGCTGTCCATTCTCATCCCGGGCTGCTGCTGGCCAGGACCCCTCTGGGCATGCCTCCAGCCCGTCCAGGTGCTGGAGAGGCTCACCTTCAGCCAGCCAACATAGAAGAAGAACTGTAGGAATGTGAAGAGGGGCACGACCAGGTCCAGCTCGTGGCCAGGGTAGGACTTGGCCGGGTTCAGAAACTGCCGCCCAACAAGGCAAGCCAGGAAGAAGCTGTACACTGCCACAGTCACCACCTGGGAGGGGAGAGAGGAGGAGGAGGCAGAAAAGGCTGGTGGGATCCCTGAAAACAGGAAGTTCCTGAGGCTGCGCGTCCAATGCCTTGCTCTGACTTTCATACTCGTGACTTTGGGTCTCGGTTAACTCCTCTTTAAAATGGGGATAATCACATTGCCTTTACTGGGCTGGACCAGGCAGGAGCCTGGACTCTTAGAACTTGGCACTTCAAAGTCCAGACCCAACTCCCAGGGTGGGCTTTTTATTCAGCCTCCAGGTGAGCCCTTCTCATCACAGGCTACTTCCTAGGTCCCTCTAGCCTCAGTTTCCCAAAGGGGCACCCTCACCAGCCTAGTCCTCACCTGTGTGTACACCAATGGGACACTGATCCAGTCGTAGGCATACAGGTGTCCACACTGAGTACGCAGGGTGTTCATTTCCTGGGGGGCAGGAGGGAGGGATGGGGTTCTGAGCACCACCTGCTCTCCCAGGAGCACCCCCCAGCTCTTATCCAGGTACCAAGGTCTGGTGCTCAGGTCCAGTCTCGGCTGTGTGGTCATGGGCAGCTCACAAAACCTCTCTATGCCTCAACCTCTTCATCCAGCAAAAAGGAACCAAGATCTCACAGGCCCACTTAGAGGGGAGATGGGAGGGGCATTTGAGGAGGAACCACCCTGGGCTGTGGAATCCTGTTGGAAAAGATCCTATAACTCCACCACAGACTCTGGGAAGACCTTCAGGGGCTCAAGCCTTTTCTTTGTAGGAAACCTGTTTCATCTGGGCCACACCCTTCCCACCTCTTGGCAGCCCCATCTGTGCAGCGGGCTCACGTTTAGCAGGCTCTGGAGCAGAATAGAGTCCCGGATTCGGCCGTCAAGCCAGGCCTTCATTGTCAGGTTGGCAAACCACACCCAGGGCACCCAGAACATGTTGTGTGGTAAGCTCAATTTTTCGAACCGCTTGTGTTCAACGGGGGTCATAAAGCCTACGGAGTACAACGAAGAAGTCAGTGGGTGGGAGAACCTGCAGAACGGGTGCTGGCACCGGGTGACCAGGCCAGGCCCTGCTGAGCCCATAGGGACCTTGGCACTCCTTTGCCATCTTTCAGCAAAAAATTACCGAGCATCCACTATGTGTTGTTCTGGGCCGAGCACGTGACAAGGGACTGTCTCATTAACCAGGACCAGGCCGGGCGAGGCCGAGGGGGAGGCCAGAGAATGATGTCACAGACCTCCAGACTAGAAACTGGAGATCGGCAGGGGCAAGGGCAGAGGGATGTAGAGCTTAGTACCCCACCAGTTCCCAAGCCTGGCCACCCTTTCCCTGTCCCTCAAGGGTCCTTAGTCCTGCCTCGAATGCCTGTCCTTCCAGGGCAAGCTCCTGACTCCACCCCGCCCAATTCGTCCCCCAGGTTTTGGCCCCACCCCGCTCCTGGGCCACCCAATCCTCGAGTCCAAAGGACTCTGGCTCCACCCATCTTCCCCGTCCGCCACACCCTCAGTCCCTGGGCCCGCCCCGCCCCTCGCGGGCCCGCCCACCTGCTTGCACCAAGTGCTGGAGGCTGGGAAAGCGCTTGTAGACGGCGGTGCTGATGCTGCGCAGGATGAGCACGTTGCCCAGGTTGGCGTAGCGGATGAGCGTGCGCCGCAGCAGCCGCCCGTGCTCGTCCTTGCCCTCCACGAAGCCCGACACCAGGCTCATGAGGCGGTCGGGCCACGGCAGGTTCTCGTACTGGTTCCACCAGCGGGTCACGACCAGCGTCACGTAGAAGCCTGGGCGGGAGGCGCGGGGAGTGGGGGAGGGGCGAGGGCCGGGCTGCGGCCGGAGCCCAGCGCCGGCGACGCCGCGTCTCTGCGTCCGCGTGACGCGAGAGACCCAGCCCCAGCTCCCCCGCAAGGCGCTGGGGGTGCCGGGGCCAGGCAGAGCCTCGCTTGCAGGCGAAAGCGTCAAGGGTTGTCTCTCCCAGGAGTCCCCTGTCGACCCCAGAAATCCGCCAGAGGCCCTCCCCTCCTGCGCAGGGCCGCCAGGGACCCGGATGTCGGCGCTTCGGGGTTCTGAGCGCGGACGGCAGGGCGTCCTTCCCAAAGTCTAACTTGGGCGTCTCGGGCTGCGGTCTGCTCGCCGCCAGAACTAGAGAGGCCCCGACGGGCCGCGGGCCTTGCTCCTCCCGCCCCGTCCGCCCCATCTCCCCGCAGTCCGCCCGGGTCTGCCGGGAGCCGGGCGGCCGCGGGCCCGACCGCCGGAAGGGGGAGCTCACCCAGCACGAAGGAAATGGGGATGAGCTGGATGTAGCTGTCGCAGTACAGAGTCAGCTTCTCGAACAGCAGCTGCTGTTCCTCTGTGAGGGCCAGCCTGTGTGTGTGTGTGGGGGTGTGGACACTGTGAGAGGTGGCTGAGACTGTCCCCAGGTCCAGCCCGGGGTACCCGTGCGGCCACCTCAGTGTCGTCCCACGTCTTCCCTGTCCCTTCCACTGGCCCGGCCCAGGGCCCCTCCTCCGGCAGCCCCGAACTGGACAGGCCAGAGGAGGCTGCTTTGGGGAGACTCCTCACACCCCTGGGTGAGGCATAGGAGGGAAGGCCCCGCCTAAGGGACCAGTTTTTGGCACCACTGACCCTTTGAAAGGAGCCAAGGGACAGTTGTTTAAAAGCAGGTTGAGACAAAGAGTGGTCTTTAAAGAGAGGGGTGCACAGGCAGAGCACAGAGGATTTTTAGGGCGCTGCGGCTACTCTGGATGCTGTGCTGATGGGTGCATGTCCCTGTCCGTTTATCCAAACCCAGAGCATGTCTAGTACCGAGAGCGAACCCCGGTGTAAACTCTGGACGTTGGCGGTAATGATGTGTCGCCGTGGGTTCATGGACTGTGACAAATGTGCCACTGTGGGGGCGTTGATAGTGGGTGGTCGTGGGCGTGGGGGGAGCAAAGAGGCACACGAGAACTCTCTGTCCCTTCTGTTCAATCTTGCCATGAACTTAAAAATGCTCTAAAAAAATAAAGGCTAATTTTTTTCTTTAAAAAAAGAGCCCTAGTGAAAACTAAAGAAGACAAATGTGCTTTGTTATTATTAGGAACTCAAGAGTTTTATGTATTTGATATTCTACAATCCATTGTAGTCATTAGTGTGTTTTCAATGTAAATGCTATCATATATTCTGTGATTATATTGGTTCTGCATTTTATTATTTAGATAAACATTTTTTTTTTGAGACAATCTCACTTTGTTGCCCAGGCTAGAGTGAGTGCCGTGGCATCAACCTAGCTCACAGCAACCTCAATCTCCTGGGCTCAAGTGATCCTACTGCCTCAGCCTCCCGAGTAGCTGGGACTACAGGCATGCCCCACCATGCCCAGCTAATTTTTTGTGTATATATTTTTAGTTGGTCAATTAATTTCTATTTTTAGTAGAGACAGGGTCTCACTCAGGCTGGTTTTGAACTCCTGACCTTGAGCAGTCCACCCACCTTGGCCTCCCAGAGTGTAGGATTACAGGCGTGAGCCACCATGCCCAGCCTTAGATAAACATTTTAATTAAAATATATATTTTAAAATTTGTATGGTGTGGGCCTGTGAGTATGAGTGGGATTAAGTGAACCAGGCCGGCTGAGTGCCGGTAAGGCCTGTCCTCTGGGCCCTCCCTGGAGTAGAGGAAAGGTGACTGGGCCCTCCGTACCCGGGTGGAGCTGCCTTCCCCATCTGACTTCTTTTCTCTCCCCAGCCCCCAGCACCTGGTCAGGAACTCAGCTCAACCTTGTCCGTCACTGGTGCCTCAGTCCCCAATCTGGCTGGGAGGCCCCCAGGAGCTCTGAGGCCCAGCCACATTCCTCCAAGGCCCCCAGCCCCAGCCCTGCCACCGGTACCTGTAAAGGAAGCGGATAGTGTAGTAGCAGATCAAGAAGATGAGGAACTCGCCGTACAGCAGCTTGTAGATGCTGCCCCGCCAGCACAGCAGCAGGCGGGAGAAGCAGCCCAAGCGGGCATTAGCCACTTGGCTTGTGTAGGTGATGGTCATGGCCAGGCACTGGGCTGCAGCAGGTGGGCTCGGGTCCTGGTGGGAAGACAGAGGGGCACATCAACAGGGGCCTTTCAGGACCCTTCCCTGCTCTGGGCCTCAGTTCTCCCATCTGGACACTGGGAGGTAGATGAAGGGGTCTCCAAGGCCCTTCCAGCTCCAACTGCATGTGGGAGGTGGGAACCCAAGATAGTGAGCCCAGAGACTGCCCATAGCCTGGGCTGGGCAGACATTGCTACGTCTGTGTATTGGCATGTGCCCTTATTTTGTATGGTGACAAAGGCAGTAACAACAGCAATGTCCACCCACTGAGCGAGCTCAGGTCTTCTGAGCCAGGCAGTGCTCTGAACCCATCTTGGTCATTAGCTCCCCAAGCTTCCTGGCCGGCCCCAGGGTGAGAAGTAGGTAAGGGGCCAGGTCAGCCAGGGCCACCCCCAGAACAGAGCCTGGCTGCTGGAGGGGCTCAAATGTCTACTGTGGGTGGCCCCAGGGCCTTTCTACCTGCTGGTGCTCCTGCCTGAGGGACAGTCTTTCTCAGAAAACTGCACAGCTCATTCCCACTTCAGAAAGGATGTTCCCTACCATCCTACCTGGCACTGTCTGCTCCCTCACCTTGCTCAATTTTTCTAGATAGCAGTTATCACTACTTGAAATTACACAGGATAGCTACTTGCTCGTTGCCTGTTTGTGCTTCAGGGTGAGAGCTCCTACTGCTTTCTCATAGAAGGTGCTGGATAACAAGTTGCCGAAGCAGTGGGTGATGCCTCCCCTACTCGTTCTGATGCAGCCACACTGGCTGTCTCTCTGTGCCTGGTGCACACCTAGCTCATTCCTACCACAGGGCCTTTGCACAGACATATGGGTGCCCACACACCTGACATGTGCTGCCTGCATGTACATATCACACAAAATATACAAGGACAGTCACCCACCCCTGAAGGCCTTCAAAGCCCTAGCCCAGTCTGCCTGGGGCACCTCCTACTCACAGTGGGGTTCCAGTCTGGTCTGGCGATCCCACGGAAGGTCTGGCCACTAGGCTGGTGGGACTCTCTGGGACTCTGTGGCCAGTGCCCTGTCCACACTTAGAGGCTGGCACTGCCCACGTGTGTGCTGAGCAGTCACTTGATTCCCTAAGCCAGGACCTCCACAAAGGAGCCCTTGTCTTGGTCCCTTCTCATAATCTGCTCATAAGGAACAACCAGCACAGCCTGGCCAGGGCCCCTCTAATTCCTTCCTGGGGGGTGCTGGGCTGCCACCAAGGCTGGAATTTAGGGCAACACCCCTCTACCATGGCCCTAAAATCCAGAGGTTGATGGATCTTCTCCACCAGTATTCTGACTTTTGAGGTCTTGCAGGGAGAATTGGGTGGGGGGCGTGGTTTTAACTGGGCTTCAACACCTGTGCCAGGAGCTACCCAGGAAGGGGGAGCCTCTGCCCAGGCCCCGGGGTCTTGGATGGTGTTGCTCTGGGATTTCATCACCTCAGTAAGAGTGACAGAATTCTGCATATGCTGGTCAGGAGCTCTGATTGGCCGCTGGTGACATCATGGGTTATTCTGCCTGTGATTGGTTGACAGGACCCATTAATAGGTTGCTGCAAGCTATGGAAGAAGGTGGACAGGGGGTTGGTGTGCTAGGGCCCCTTCCGGTGGAGGGTGCCAGAGCAGCCCTGGTGTTTGTGCTGCTGGCTCCTAGCCAGCCGGTGCGAAATGGGGTGTGTGCCCAGACCCCCAAGGGCAGCTGGTTGAAATCTCAGCAGCTGGTTCAATACATTTGAACACATCAGTCCGTACTCAAGGGCTCTCCTAAGCTTCTGGAAGTGATGGGTTTCTACTGACATGCTCACCTTGTACTGTTAAATGAAAAGAGCAGAGCTCCAAGTGGTGGTAGTTCTTGTTCTTTCGGGGATGCAAGAATCACCCAGAATGTTTATCAAATGTGCACCTTCTCAGGATCTTCCTCAAGAGTCTGATACTGTGGCCTTGGGGATGTTGCTTTTTTATCAAGCAGGGCAGGGGGTTTTGATGTGACTCGTCTTAGGACCATAGTTCAGAAGCCCTGATTTGCAATATGACCCTGAGCCTTAAAATAAATCCATTCTCCCCCTCCTCTCTCCCACCTCTCCTTACCCTGCTTGCTCTCAGACATACTGTTAGCCATGCTGAGATTGCAGGTGATTCTTGTACACACCACTCTTGCCTTTATAATTATTTTCCTGGGGGGGACCCTATTTCACAACGACCTTGGGTACTTTTCTAATCACAGCAAACAATAAAGCTATTGTTATCATGAGAGTCTCTTCTTAGACAGAGACTCTCATGATACAGCCTTGAGACAGCCTTGTAGAAGTATTTGCTGCTTCCCCGCTGTACCATTGCTGTCCTTAACTGAAAGAGAGAAAGAAGTAGCGTCACTTGAGCCTCAGACTCCTCATCTGTGAAATGGGAGAACAGCGCCTGCCTCGGCAGCTGGATAAGAATGATGGATGGGAAATATGTTAGTCAACTCTCCAAACCAGTGGTTCTCATGCCTGGCTGCCTGTTAACTTTTCCCGGTCCAAACCACTGATGCCTGTGTCCCACCCTAAAAATTCAGATTCAATTGGTCTGGATGGGCCCCAGGTGTTGGTAGTTTTTCAAGTTGTCCAGGTGATTCTACTTTGCAGACTGGGTAGCAAATCACTGCTGTAATTGTTTCTCTACCTTGCATTCTCTCTTCCCCACCAACACATACTGACATTCAGGAGAGAGCTCTCCGCTTAGCAGATGATTAATAAATATATTTTAACTAAAGTTAAGACATGTGCTTGGCATAGTGACAATTGTTCTGTATTCAGGAATGCATGAAAACCCTGCCTTTGTGGAGACAGGTTCCTGCCTCCGCTGTGGCGGCCACTAGAGGGCGCCCTTGACTAGCCGGCGCTGGCCTGGGTGGCCTGGTCCGCTGGTCAGGTCAGTGCAGACCACGGAGCTCCCTCGGGAAGCCGCCTTCACTTCGTTGACCATGACCAGCAGCCATAGCCATGACAGGGAGTTGGGAGACCCCTGAACCGCAGGCTCGTTGGCATATCCCAGAAGTACCCCCAGGACCAGCTGACAGTGCTTCCCCAGTGTCCCTTCCCCTCCCAGGATGTCCCAGAGCTAGGACAGGCACACCCTCGCACAAGTCACGGGGTCTCAGCCATGCACATGCCCCCAGCCAGCCGGGCCTGGCTTAGGCACACAGCAAAGCCACGGTCAGTGCTGACTGACCCCAGCCATGTCTGGATGAAGAGCCCCAGAATTGACCCTTGCAAAGATGGCACCCAACTTAGGCCACTCTCTTCTGCTTCCCGTTCCACAAAGTAATCATTCAACAAACTACCTCTCATTCTAGACCTGAGCCTCAACTAATTCCTGCCTCCAGGTATTCATGGTCAAATAAAAACCGGGGAAACCCTTAAATAACTCTAACACAGAATGGCAACACCTGAGATCTGTGCCAAGTGCTCAGAGGTCAGGTCAGGAAATTCTTTACAGAGAAGGGAGCATTTGAGTTGGGTCTTGAAGCATGAGTAGGAGTACACTGAGGTGAGAAGAATGGAAGAGCATTACATGTCGGGGGAACAGCCCATGAGAAGTCACAGGTATTTCTGAGGGATGGTTCAGTATTGCATATTTTTTGTTGTTTTTTGGTTTTTTTTTTTTGAGACAGAGTCTTACTATGTTGCCTGGGCTAGAGTGCCGTGGCGTCAGCCTAGCTCACAGCAACCTCAAACTCCTGGGCTCAAGCGATCCTCCTGTCTCAGCCTCCCGAGTAGCTGGAACTACAGGCATGCGCCACCATGCCCGGCTATATATATATATATATATATATATTAGTTGGCCAATTAATTTCTTTCTATTTTTAGTAGAGATGAGGTCTCATTCTTGCTCACGCTGATCTCGAGCTCCTGAGCTCAAACGATCCGCCCGCCTCGGCCTCCCAGAGTGCTAGGATTACAGGTGTGAGCCACTGCGCCCAGCCCAGTATTGCATTCTTATTCACATTTTACATAAATGGACACTGAAGCTCAAGGCCTGCTGTTCAAGGTCACAGAGCTATAACTGACTTGAGACTGGAATTTGGGTCTTCTGGTTTTGGATCCTGTGTCCTTTCCACTACCCACCACCAGCTCTGTAGTGGAGGTTGGTCAGTTTCTGAGGATGGATTCTTACCTGTTAGAGTAGTGGTCTCTATGGGGGTTGGAGGGACATCCAAGGGATGGGGGATGCACAGAAGGGACTTTGACTGCAGCAGAGCCCATGCTCTGGGGCGCCCCGGCTGACAGCCATCTCTGGGGGCAGGCGCAGCAGAGCTGGGCAGATGGGTGGAGGTTCCAGATGCAGAACGCTATGGTCTTTGCACCCAGGATCACCATGGCAACAGGGGCATCACAGAGGGCCTGCCACGATGCCCTTCCAGGCCCTGTCTCAGCTGGGCAGGAAGAAAGGGACCCAGCTTGGCTGGGGGCAGAGGGCAGGGGGCCCCTGGGTGGGCCAGCCAGGCCTGGGGGCTCCCTCCAGGCTCTATGTAGGGCACCTGCCAGCCCACGTCTCTCTTGGGCCAACCATAGAACAAACAGGGCAGAGGCAAAGAGAGAAAAGGAGGGGCGTGGCACACCTGGACAGGACAGGGGAGGGGAGAGCCCGGAAGCAAGACAGACAACAGCACCTCTTCCCTGGGATCAGGCAGCCCTGATCCCTGAAGGGCTGGGTACACTCAACATTCACAGAGATGAACGCATGAGCCCTGGCCACTGCAGAAAGACTGCGGCAACTGGGGGAGGCAGGGAGAAGCTGGGGTACACCTTTGTCCTGCTTTACCAAACCTAGTCCCACCAACGACAATGGAATAGCATGGAACAGGCCAGAGCCGGCCCAACTAGAGACACAAAGCAAGAGGATTTTACCACAGCTTGGGGAGAACACTGGGATCCCTGAGCTGCCTGTCCCCCATGGACTCTGCCCTGCTGAGGCCAGCAAGGTGAGGACTGACCCATGCATGTCCCGCCCCACCCAACCCCCCAGCTCAGAACTGGGGTTAAGGGGCAGAGGAGGAGGGGAGGAACACCACGGGTCAGGCTTCTAGAGAGCTGTGCCGGGCACCGGAGGACCTGGATGTCGTCACACGTTCACTACCTGTCAGTGGCCTCAGTGGCCTTATCTCAAATGGGTGTGAAGTTTGACATGCCCCCAAAAGAATGTTGATGGTTTTTCGTCCAAAGAAACTGAGGCATAGAGAAGGAAAATGACTTGCCTGAAGTCACAGAGAATTAGAGTTGGGACTGGGCAGTGACCGTGGGTCCCTGTCTCGGTCAGTGCAGTGTCTGTCCGCTGCTCCTGGCTGTTCCTAAAGTTCAGGTTCGCAGGCATGTGCTAATGCCAACCGTGCAAGGGAAAGAAGAGAAGAAGCAGCTCCTCCCACATGTTGAGCACTTAATGGGTGCCAGGCAGTGCAGTAAGTGCTTTTAAGAAACGGCGTCATCCAATCATCAGAACAAAGCCCCGGGGAATAGGAAGGGTGGACAGAGGTGCGGGAGGTTAGCACGAGGGCAGACCCCATGCGCAGTGAGCCATGTCGTATGTTAGGTGGACAGGATCACCCAGCAGGCCGCCTTAGCTGCCTTTTTCTGCCTCAGATACAGATTGGCTCAGCATAGCATGGGCTTCACAGAGCGCCCTGTCTCTACTAAAAATGGAAAAATTAGCCAGGTGTCACCTGTAGTCTCAGCTACTCGGGAGGCTGAGTCAGGAGGATCTCTTGAGCCCAGGAGTTGGAGATTGCAGTGAGCTATGATGATGACGCCACTGCACTCTACCCGGGGTGGCAAAGCGAAGACTCCATCTCAAAACAAACCAAAGAAACATTTTCTCCTATTCTGTTGGTTGTCTTTTCACTTTGTTCTTTGACATATAAAAGATTTCAATGACATTAGAAATTTCTAATGAATTGTAATGGATTTTGATCTTGCAAAATCCAAGATTATAAAGATTTAACCATATGTTTTCTTCTAAGAATCTCATAGCTTTAGCTATTTGACCTATTTTAAGTTAATTTGCATGCGTGGTCTGAGGTAAAGATCCTTCCTTCTTTTGCATGTGGATATTCAATTGTCCATGCACTGTTTGTTGAAAAGATTATTCTTTTCCTCAATGAATGGTCTTGGCACCCTTGTTGAAAATCAATCTATGATAGATGTGTGGGTTTATTTTTGGTCTCTCAATTCTATTCCATTGATCTATATGTCATCCTTGTACAAGCACTACACTGTTTTGATTATGTAACTATGTAGAAAATTTGAAATCAGGAGTGTGCATTCTCCAACTATGTTCTTTTTCAAGATTATTTTGGCTATTTGGGGTCCCTTAAAATTCCATATGAACTTTAGGATCACCTTGCCCATTTCTGCAAAAAAGGCGGTTGGAATTTTGGTAGAGATTACTTTGAGTCTATAGATCGCTTTGCAATTTTTACAATCTAATCTTCTATTTCTAATCTAATCTTCTATCTTTTCATTTGTTTAGGTCTTTAAGTTTATTCAACAATGTTTTGTAGTTTTGAGTGTACAAGTCATGCACCTCCTTGGTTAACAATATTCCTAAGTATTTTATTCTTTTTTTATGCTATTGTAAATGGAATTACTTTCTTAATTCCATTTTCAGATTATTCATTGCTATATTGGTATATAGAAATACCAAAAATACTGATTTTTGTATGTTGATCTTGTATCCTGCAACTTTGCTGAATTCGTTTACTAGCTGTAATAGTTTTTGTGTGGATTCTTTAGGCTTTCCTATATATAAGATTACGCCACCTGTGAATACAGTTTTACTTCTTCCTTTCCAGTTTGGATGCCTTGTATTTCTTTTTCTTGTGTAATTGCTGTTGCTAGTACTTCCAGTGAAATGTTGAAGTAGAACATGTAGAAGTAAAAAAAATAAAAAAATAAAAAAATAAAAAGAACATGTAAAAGTAGAAGTGGCAAGGCCAGCTGTCCTGATCTTGTTCTGATCTTAGGAGGAAAGCTATCAGTTTTTCACCAATAAGTATGCTATTAACTGTGGATTTTCACAGATGCCCTTTAACAGGTTGAAGAAGTTCCCTTCTATTCCCAGTTTTATGAGTGTTTTGATCATGACAGGGTGTTGGTTTTGTCAACTTGCTTTTCTGCATCAACTGAGATGATCATATGGTTGTTTTCTTCAATCTAATAATGCGATATGTTACAGTAGGCCCCTCCGTATCTGTGGGTTCTGTATCTGTAGATTCAGCCAACCACAGACAGAAAGCATTAAAAAACATGGATGGCGGAACTCTTCAGTGGTACATCTTCAGTTCTCTACTGAACATGTACAGACTTTTTTCTTTGTCATTATGCCCTGAACAATAAAATATAAGAACTATTTACACAGCATTTACATTGTATTAGGTATTATAAGTAAAGTATACAAGAGGATGTGTGTAGGTTATAGGCAAAAACTATGACATTTTACTCACTCACTTATTTATTTATTTATTATTTTAGAAATGGGGCATGGCTGCATTGCTCAGGATGGCCTTGAACTCCTAGGCTCAAGCAATCCTCCTGCCTCAGTCTCTGGAGTAGCTGGGACTACAGGTGCCCACCACTGCACCTGGCGTATACCATTTTATACAAGGGACTTGGGCATCACAGATTTTGGTATTCGAGAGGAACCTGAAGCCAATTCCCCATGGTACATTGATTCATTTTCATGTTGAACCACCCTTGCTGGCATTTCCAGGATAAATCCCATGTCACCATGATGTATAATCTTTTTAATATGTTCTGGATTTGATTTGCTAGTATTCGGTTGAGGATATTTGCATCTATATTCACAAGGGATGTTGGTCTGTAGATTTCCTTCCTTGTGATCATTTTGTCTGGCTTCAGTTTCACGGCAATACTGGCACCACAGAATGAGTTAGAAGGCATACTCTATTTTTTGGATGAGTTTGAGAAGGATTTTTTATTCTTCTTTAAGTATTTGAGAATTCATCAGTGAAACAATTTTGTCCTTGTCTTTCTTTTTTTATTTTTAAAATTTTTTTATAGATTTAGTGAGTACAAGTGCAGTTTCATTACATGGATAAATGTAATGGTGCATAGTGGTGAAGTCTGGATTTTTAGTGTTAACATCACCCAAATAGTGTACATTGTACCCATTAAGTAATTTTTCATCCCTCACCCACTTTGACCCTCTCATTCTTCAGAGTCTCCAACGTCTGTTATCCCACTCTGCATATCCATGTGTCCATGTTATTTAGCTTCCACTTATAAGTGACGAGAACATACAGTATTTGACTTTCTGAGTTATTTCACTATAGATAATGGCCTCCAATTCCACCCATGTTGCTGCAGAAGACATGATTCATTCTTTTTTATAGCTGAGTAGTATTCCATGGTATATCCCATATTTCCTTACCCAGTCATCCACTGATGGACACTCAGGTTGATCCCATATCATTGCTATTGTGAATAGTGCTGTGATAAATATACAAGTGCACGTATCTTTTTGATACAATGACTTCTTTTACTTTGGGTAGATACCTTGTAATGGGACTGCTGGATCAAATGGTAGTTCTATTTTTAATTCTTCGAGAAATCTCCATACTGTTCTCC